AAAATCATAAGAAAAAAATGCATTTACTTTTCATTAAGTGAAAGAGGAGCCTTGTAAAAGCCTTCATCATAGTTGCCTTCCCCTTAGGTAGGCTGGGGATGGGGAAGAGGAGGGACTTGTCTTGCTGTCTTGTGACAGAAGAGAAAAAATATCCTCATATAAGTGGACACTTGCAGTACAAACCTGTGTTTTTCTAGAGTCAACTGTATTTTACTACTAGCTATTGTTAATCTCTTACTGTGACTGATTTCCAAAACTTTACTGAAAGTTTTTGTGACTGAAACTTTACCACGAGTATGTATGTGTAGGTAGAAAGCATATACAGGGTTCTGCACTATCCGAGGTTTCATCCCTCCACCCGGCATCTTGGAACTTATTCCCCAAAGATAAGAGGAGCTGCTGTAATTGATTTAATAGTAAGTGTCCATTTTAAGTACCCTCCAGAGGTACTACCCATCCTCTATCTTTAGCCCATTAATTATTCTAGTGGAGGAAATTACAGATACACCTTTTGGGGAAGATATTTTATTTGGGGGCAAGAGGTGCTCCAGCTCTGTAAGCCATGCTACATGCCTCTGCCTATAAGGACAGGCAGTGCTGTATGTCAGAATGGATTGAATTAAAAATCTGAAGATTACTTTTGCAGAGATGTCTCCATTTGTAAAATCACAGTGTTCCTGTAAAGTCGTGCATCAATCAGTTTCTTTAATTTACACAGTGTGTTATGATTTACAACAGACTACACAAATTGTTCATTCCCATAAACAGAAGAGAAATTCACAGTTAGAACATGTTCCCTGACTGGTAAGTGATGGATCTATGTTTAAAATAATAGAGATGGATCATATTTTACATATTCTAATAACTACACACTGAAAAGATTCCTACTGTGATTTCTTTTACAAAGCTAAAAATTCTCTCATAAATGCAGACTTCTTCCTGTTTACTCTGTGGGCAATGCTAGACTTTCACAAATCAGGTTTGTTGTGTAACATACACATGTTCTATGCATTACTAAACTTAGTTCTGAATGCAGCACCGCTGAAATTCGGAGGGTAACGTGATCACTCAGCAAATGTTGCCAGCTCCTATCATATTTAGAACCCTGTGTTCTGAGGCGCTCAAGTTCATGCTGAGGCATTTGCTAAACAAATCTTTGGCAAGGAATCAGCACAGTGATTTTCTGTATCCTTAAATCCGGAGTCCGTGATTCCTAAACTCTCCAGAGTTTCTTTTTTTTTTTTAATGTTTCTATGTTTATTTTTTTATTAAGTCATATATACATAGATGATGAATGCATTTATGCCTTTGTGGGATTCAATGTGTTGATTATTTGTACAAATTGGAGTGCTTACATCCTACTAATTAACATAGCTTTCACCTCATTTACTTAATCACAGTGTTAAGACATTTGTGTTCTATACTTGATAGATTTGACTTGTACCCTTGCAATGTGCTCCGTTGGTATGGTCCCACCATTAACCTTCCCTCTATCCATCCACTTCATCCTGGGCTATAGTTCTGATTCATCTCTCATATGAAAGTGTGAGTGATCATAAATTGGTTTTATAGTAGTACTGAGTACATTGGATATATTTTTTTCCATTCTTGAGATACTTTACTAAGAAAAATATTTTCCAGCTCCATCCATGTAAACATGAAAGAAGTAAAGTCTCCGTTTGGAAATAAGTTTGGGGAACACTCCCGGATCTAAACGGAGTTTCAATCTCTTACCGCTGTTGGAGTTTTAACTAGCGTGCTTCTCAAAGAAGCATACCATTTACTTATTTTAAAAATTAAATGGAATAAAAACTTACGAACTCTGAGAGAGACCGCGATCGGTGTTGAAAAGAGCTGATTTCGTGTGTTTCCATGGAAAATGGGAGGCAGGGTGACGAGGAAAGAGGAAGAGGGCACGGGCCCACCAGGGGTGCACAGGCTTCCACCAGGGCCTGAGTGGCGTTCCTGCGCCACAGCGAGTGTAGACAGGAGCCCAGAGTTGGCCGCGTGGACGGCGGAGGCCTGGCTTGGGGTACTTTCCAGAGTCCCAGCAACATTTTGAGTTCGTGGCAGTGATTACGGGGACTATCTTTAAAGTGTAACAGGTTTGAAGAAGAGATGGCTAATAAACGTGCGTGGTGTTTGTGTTTGGGACTGTGCACTGGGAAAGAGTGGAAAGGGAGAAACGGGAAAGTTGTTAGAGCAGAACAGATAGATAAAAAGAGCCGACGGAAAGGCGAGGGAAGCGCAGGCTGACCCGTGCGAGCAAGCAGCAAAACAGCAAGTGCGGGAGCTGCAAAGCCGGGAGAAGACACAGACGCCGCCACGCAGGGCGAGCGGTCCTCCCGACGGCAGGGGGCGCCCGCCACCCCGCCCCGCGCGGGCCCCGCCTCCCGCCCCGCGCCTGCGCTTCCTGCCCCTCCTCGTCCGGGATGTTGCTGCCGCTGCTGCGGAGTAGCTGCTTCCCTTCCTCGGCTCCTGGCGGCAGCGGCGGCGGCGG